GTCACTCGAACGAGCCATCCAGCGAAGAACAAGAAGACAAATGCCACGACACTGAAAGTGTTTCCAACGTATCCAGCTGTGGCCACATCCAAATTGTACACCACTTGCAAAAATGACGGGAGATAAACGGCATAACAATAGTAAGATATCTGGTAAGTCATGTCTAGGAGACATGCTCCTAGAACGGTCCTATCAGTGAGGAACTTGTAGTTCAAGAATGGCACCGGAGCCAGGTAAGTCTCATAGAAACCGAATGATATAAGTAGGACCAGCCCAACCACAAGCATGGCAATGATATAGCCGGTTTGCCAACCATGCGGTGCCATACTGGCCAGAGTGAATGGTAGAAGGAATACCACCATGCCGCCAGCGAATAGAAAAACACCCATCACTATTTGTCGAGATAACAATTAGCATCCCGCAACGACTGCCGCAACACGCCGATATGGTAACTCACAGTCAAACTCTTTAATAAACCACCAAATTGTTTCAAAATTAAATCTCAAAATCTTTCTTTCCCTGACAAGAATGCCTTCCCTCTCAGCTCTGCGTAAATTATAGGCCAGCATGAAATATATCGGCAAAGCGAAAGCGGGCAAGATAATTGCCCAGACTCCGTAGCCCCATCGCCAATTGACATTGGCGAGAAATCCTTCAGCGGCCTTAGATCCAGCGAACGCTGAGATTATTGCCGGAGACGAGGTAAAAGCAAATGCCAACCCTCGATTTCTCAAGTTTGTCACATCGGCTGCGAGAACATTCCAACTGTATGCAAGACCCCCGAATCCTACCGAGTAGAACACCTGTAATGAATGGAGGTGTTAGATACTGATAAGAGTGAACGCGTGGATATTAAGTCCTTTCTTACCTGTCCAGCGCAGTATGTAGCTATATTATGGGATGCAGCCAGCATCACTATTCCCAGGATACAGAACCCAGTCATTAGAAGAATACCTTCCGCACGACCCCAGAGGTCCAGCGCTTTCGCCATAGGAATATACACTGCGCCTGTCATGGCAGATGCCACGATATTGATGACGGTCAAAAGCGAATGACCCGCGAAAGAGCTTGTCGCATAAGCGCTTAGGCTGTAGACCACCGAAGTCTTGAGGTTGTTCACTAGTGTGAGTAGCCAGATACTGTTGGAAAAGGGCGACGTGAGCTGCTAGGGCCAAATAATATAATGAGGGCAGGGAGACATACAATACCAGAACCATAAGCATCGATCCTTTCCCCCAGGCTATAGTGACAGCCTCAATCTTCTGAACACCAGCTTGGGCATCTTCGGCAGGTATGGCTTCCTCCTTGCCAGTCATATCATTGATGGGAGCATGTCCAGCTTCTTTGTCATCGGCTCTCGCCTGCAGGGCGATTGGATCATCAACCGAGGTAGCCTCAGTCTCTGCAGACTTGTTGCCAACTATCCGATGGAATCTGCTCATGATCGCCATATTTTCTCCACGACAGAGGAATTTGGGCGCGGGACGACAGACTCAAAACGAGAGAAGAGCTAGACATTAAATATTACATCCTGAGTCAGGCGCTCTAACGTCTTTGCGTTAGAACGCAATAAATACAAGAAAAAATCCAGAGAAAATCGGACGATCAATTGCCGGTGACGGAATACCGAAAAGGGTTGTCCCACAACGAAAACTTACTAAACAATACATAATTACCTAGGTACGCCTAGCGTCTAACGGTAGATATGGATATTGTCTAAGGCCATTCTCATCCAAGAACACCCATACTTTGAATCGTTTCTTCTTGGGCTATGTATTTTCTTTCCTGCTCAGTCAATCTGCGCGGAGTAAACATGATATTGGGGGCTTTGGCGCCATTATTCCCATTTATTTTGCGGTTTCGCAAATATGGCCAAAGCGCTGGTCATGCCAAGTGACTTTAAGACAAACGGATCAAGTTATCTTGGCCCCAAGTCTAAATCCCAAATCCCTGCGCTGGGCATCCAATAATAATATTTCCAGGGAAGATTTTGAGACTTCGGCGAATTCAAAGCGTGATAAATTCCTTTATTTTCTTTTCATGGAGCCAAACAGACAAGCCTCAGTCTCAAGGAAAACATCCATGGAAAGTCCAATTTCGGAATTTCCAATGCCAAAAATTGGCCCAGGCTCCATTGGGAGTTCATAGATAATTCTGAATGTGACTGAGAATAGCCAGACTAGAGATTTGCTGCTAGCTAGATACATAGTACTATGCTCAAGCCGCATCTTTTGAAGTTGATAGCGTTTAACGCGAAATGAAGTGTTAAAATCTACTCCGTATTCAAGCCCAATGTGGGATTAAGTTTTCCTAATTTAATACTTAACAAATGAAATGGTTGCCTCCGGGCCAATCGTCCAATGTATGTTCTATACCGATACGATATGGAGATCAGATTAGATTAGACAAGGTTAGTGGTGAGTGGTAATCTCCGAAGGCTAGCCTCTTTGGGTGGTTTAAGTTGGGGGCTGCCGAGGGGATACCTACCTATATGTGTACTCACACGGGACAGCTAGGCCTTGAAAGAGCTCATTATGTGTAACTCAAAGACCAGTTTAATTTGATAACCAAGTCAAGCGCTCTTTTATTTGCAGAGGTAGAAATGGAAAGAACATGAACAAAAAGCTAGGTTTTCTATCCGCGGGCTTACTCGTGTGAAATCCAGACCCCGAGCCCAGCCTAGCTCAAGCCCAGCCCGATCACTTCCGTATTCCGGTGGACAGACCCTCAACTCTTAATGGCCCCCAAATCCTGATGAAAACGTTTTTTTGACTTTACCCGAAGTGGCAAACGGTGATAATTTGGAGAACATATTCCCGCCAATACGTTATAGCATTATTTTATCAATCACCGTTTCAACTATGTGTAGGTTTCGTTGCCAATTCATGAAATTTCTCTATGACTAATGAAAAGGCCAATCTTCAAAGAACATCGTCAAGCTCCGATTTGTCGAACATGGCATCACACTTGTGTGTTCCTCCCCATCGAACTCATGTGCCAGGACAGTACGCAACTGTTGGCAACCTCGTAGCATCCCACAGAGGTCGAGAGCATTGTCAGCCATTCTGAAATCTGAGGCCATTCGCTTTCTCAATTCATATTTTTCCAGAGGTTCATTATCCCACTGATGAGGATTTTGCTCGACTGAGCCCCAGAAGACCATAAGCGAAGGCAAATTCTCGCCCAAAGGCTCCATTCCCAGAAAGGCCTTTGCCTCCTGCAAAATAAATTTATTATTCCACCAGATGGAGGGACTGCTGGCCATATAACAATCAAATAAACTGGGGCGTGTAAATAATGCGTGCAGCGCAAGTAACCCCCCATAAGAATGGCCGTAGAGTGCTTCTCTGGAGACAGCGACCTGTGGAAATCGGGCCTTGACCGCGGGCCGCACTGAACTTTGAATAAAGTCAAGAAATATATCAGCGCCTCCATGTCCAGGAATTTGCGTTCCCACTGGTGGAGATAAATCAAGGGTGCGTCGTCGCATATCATAAAGCTCTTTGTTCAATGGGTATCCGATAGCGACAATGATGCCTCCACCGGCGAAATGCGACGCAGGTGCGCGACGCCAGGCGGCCTCGGTTGCAGTCAAGAATAGGGCATTTCCATCAACAATATATCTAATATCGGTTCGTAAACACGCGCTTTTCTTTTCTTCTGCAAGGCTGCAGATCATCAGCGGGCACTTACATGATGGGAAATGAACCACGAGCAGAAGTGCTATCAGTGTCCCAATGCAATGGCCAAGACACTTGAATCAGATATCTTTCACCCTGGTCGCTACTCAGGTAGAACTGCTCGGAATTGGGTAGTGGGACTGATGTTGGCTTGGGTTCGCTCATCTTGATGCTCCTCTGAAACAGCCCTTGGTAACCCCTAGAGATTCTAATATCGGGCGAAAAGAAGCCTACTTATAAAATGCAAATAATGGCCTAGCAACCTTGAGTTAGAATTGTTTTTGGACCCGGTTTCGGAGATTGGAGCCGTGGGGTTTAATATGTGGGTATTCATGTGCACGGAGGTGTATGTTGTACGGTATGGTATTGGGGCTATTTCACAGAAAATTTTCGAACGATTGGCGATTTTGTTAATCGAAATATGGCTTTTAATTGGCACCCCTCATTTTCGCATACTTAACATATTTATTGACCTGGGAATTTGTTATTGTATACTATGCGCAAGCGAGACTCAACTACCGGCCAACGCCACGATAGAAATTATGTAATAAACAAAAATAGATAATATCTGTGAGATTTGTACAAAGAGAGTAAGTTGTGTAAAAATAGACAGGACAAGAGTCAGGTCTTCTTTGTTCCCCTCCACGGCTCTCCCTTCTACGCTTTCTTACCCTGAGACGTGTATCCTATCGCGCCACAATCTATTTCCGGCTCTCGTTTAATTGGCTATGTACAGGGATCTAAAGTAGATGGGGCCAGCAGATGTCTTTTGTGGCTTCATATCAACCCGAGTGAAGGCTCTGAACCTTTGGGCTTGAGTCCAAAAATTCTTTTTTGATAAAATAAACTGCCCTAAAGCCGGTTTGCATCTAGTATAAAAGAGAGAAATGCCCAGCCAGAGCCCAACAAAGCACCGAAAGTTCTATCCACCATCAAAGGAAAAAGCCAAAAGCATATTGGAGGAATCGTCGAGGTCCGATTCATTGAGAGTACGCCCCCCAAGAAGAGCACACTGGATGAGGCGTTTCAAGAACTATGTTATGAACAAAGTGAAAAAGAGAGTCGAACGTCGAACTTCGTCCAGGAGCATACTCTGCCACCTTTGCTTTATCTCATCTACAACCCTCAATCTTTCTTTGACATCGCATAGCTGATTGCTCCATCCGGTGCGATGGATTCGGGGTGTAAAGAAAATGCTTGGAATACAAGTACCTTCGTAATTCTGTCCTTATACCCACTATTTATACATGCAAAATCATTGACTTGTTAGTCACATAGAGAAAGCGCCACCTCGGTCGTGACTATCTTTTCTGTAGCAAGATGACCTCAAGGGCTAATCCTCCTCGGGCTGCAAAGTCTGAGGGAAAACGGAAGAAAAATAGCCCAAATGGAGGTGCACAGGCACCACATCCAAAGAAGAAGACAAAAACGGAAATCCCGCAAATCTTGGATGAGGAACTTCTTACAGCCGATCTCAACGTTGATTATTCGAAAAAAAGAAAGAAGCTTAGGCCACAAATGCCTAAAAAGCAGCAGTGGCCAAAAGTCAAAGGTGTTATCACAGAGCGGGAAGATGCACCTAAAGGCTGGAACCCAGAGGAGCCTGATCTGATGTCCGAGTAAGTTCTACCTGCTCTAGCTATTTGGTACTGGATTCACTATTAAATTTTATACCTGGTAATTGACCCTCGTTATGCAGTGACTTCGAATCTCAGATCGATAGGTGTCTTGAACGAATCTCAGAGAACATCATGCCTCATGTCTATCAACATAAAATGAAAGAATTTATGGCAAAGCAGACGCAACGCGAGTCAGTCATCTTATAACTCTACATTAATATAGCAGAGACTAATCTCCTTCCTTCTACTCAGTGCACTGATGGCGACAGAGCCAGGTTTAAGTTGGCCCGTTGTACAGCGCCTAGACGACCTCAAATTTACCTTGGCTTCGCTCGTGGCGCAAAACGACGCACACAATATGGTCGATACAGTAAATGCTATTATGGCGCAATATCGATCAGGTGAATTGGATTGGACGCCGGACTTTGTCACCTACTGGCATGCTGGTGTTCAGCTCTGCCTGCCGAGACCATTCCACTGGGATGAATATCGCTACATCCATGACAAATGTCAGGGACATGAAGGGTTTTGGGTCGAAGGTGTATGTCTTGTCAAAAGTCTCTTGATTGTATCATGCTAAAACCGAATATTCAGATTCTTGGGCCTGCGCCTGGTATGAGCAAGACTTCAATGGTATGCCAACCAGATCCGCGTGTGAATGCCACAATGGTAGCTATTCCCCTCTAAATTGCCATATTGACCATTTTTGCTGCGTGCTATTTCTCACCATATTCTTTAGGTACGACTTAGCCTTCGGATTCCCTGGGGTCCAGCAGCTGCGGGGGAAAAAGGAAACGATGGAGATGATGGGAAAAATGGGAAAAATGGAAAAGATAAGAAAGATGATAAACCACCACCCAGGCCACCGAGCTTTGAATTCCCGTTTATGGATGACACAGGCTCTACACATCTAAGCTTATATGAAGACGACATCAACATTATTCGGGATCTGGGTGCAACTGATGGACACACATACCCCTTGCCCCGATGCTTGGGTGTTGGGGTTGTTTATGTCGCAGATGGGAGGCGGGTCACATCGCTATTTAGAGAATTGGAAGTCAACATGTGGAGCACAGATGAATCGGCTTGGATGTCACCCCACTGGCAGGCGATCCCAGCTTCTATCCGGCCTGGTCAAGCAACGAGAGCTGGAGCTGACCGTTTGAGTGGGTCATGGCTGCGACACAGATTTTACACTGGAACTTGTCCTGATCAGTCGATGCGTCTTTGGGTCTTTAACTATAATCCTGGGATACCACGGGGGCAGAGGACTCTTCCTACCGCGACATCGGCACAATTGAACGCGCCCTTCCGAACTGGAAGGATTCATCCCGTTACAGACTTTCCTCATCTTGACCCAAATGTCGCATCAGGGCAGAGTTTGCTCTAATTTACCAAACAGTGTGTGATTAGGCCTTTTTTTAACACTACACATTTGTCTGCTGCTGCCATATTTTAGGTTGTTTTCTTGGTCTTTATCCTTCCTTTATTTGTTTGAACTCTTGTATTTCGCTATTTGAATTTGTAACCCTCATTTTGACTGTCAGGCTTACGGTATGTTATTTCAATATATCACTTCGGTGTTGCGTAGCGCAGGCCTTTAATCCAATATCATGAACATAACATGGTAGATGGCTCGAGTGCGATGGACTCAGATATATCTGAGCCAAAAAGCAACCTCCAGCAATAAGTATAGATTTGTGTACCCTAATATTAGACCAAATAGATGATTTGATTCCTTCAGAGACCGAGGCAGTCTTAGCTCCTATTTCGATAGGATATAACGCAATAACCAATACAAATCTCCTAAATCAACGGGTCTGCGGGGTTAACATATATTTCCCTCGGTTATTTTCTGCCTTGATAAACCACCATCGCAGTATTCATTCATCCAAACCAAAAGTGCACAACATGTCATCATTTGCGAATACCGTTGATCCGAAGCAGATTGTTTCTGCTCTAAACACAGAAACAAGCGACAACGGTGAAGTAAACAGGCTACATCACATTCCAAGACCCCAAAACAAAGAAGAAGAGCGACGATGGCTTCTCGAGCAAATGGCGGGTGCTTTTCGCATATTTGCCAAACTAGGATTCTCAGATGGTAGCAGTGGTCATATTAGTCTCCGAGGTATGCTTGCTTTGTGTGATTTATTGTCTACTGACAAGATCGCGGTTGTTGTTCGTTTGGTTGTTCTGACAGCCCACAGATCCTGTCGAACCCCGCACGTTCTGGATCAATCCATACGGGGTACACTTCGCCCTTCTAAATGTGTCTGATATGGTGCGGGTAGACGAACAAGGAAATAGGGTCGCCGGGGCAAATAAGCCGGTTAATACAGCTGGATTTATTATTCACTCAGCAATACACCAGAGACGACCGGATATTCATGCGGCGTGTCATATGCACAGTCCTTTCGGAAGAGCCTGGAGCACCTTTGGCAGGGGAATTGATATGTTGAATCAAGGTATAATCAGCACATGATCAACACCCACATTCCTGCTAACAGCATTCCAATATTCAAGATTCTTGCATGTTTTACGATGATCTTTCGGTATATCCAGCTTTTGGCGGTGTTGTTTTTGCCCAGGAAGAGGGTCAACGTATTGCTGATTACCTTGGTCCCAAAAACAAGAATTTGATAATGCAGAATCATGGATTGCTTACTGCTGGAGGAACAGTTGCAGAAGCGGCAGCCTTTTTTATCGCCTTAGAGAGGGCATGCCAGGCCCAAATCCTGGTGGAATCTTTGATAGCACCGGGGTCGATAGGTGCAAGTGAAGGAGTCTTGAAGAAGACATTAGTGGACAATGAAGTTGCACTCTACACCAAGAAAGGAACAGGTACTCCTGAGGTCATGTATATGCAATTCGAACCCGAGTATCGATTGATTTTGAAAGAGACAGGTGGAGACTTTTTAAATTGAAGGGCGGTTGTATAGAAATAAAGCTATTCTATTGTGTGATTATGACTTTCTGGGCTAGGTTCATTTTTGCTATCAATGATTTTGGAGACGATATGATGCCCCAAAACTGTAGGTCTACAATATTAAATATTAACCTTTTATACTCGTTGAGACATTGTTACGAGGGTAATATCGGGTTGTGGATCGGGTGTGGGGTAAGGGTATCTGGCCCACCTACCTTAACACTAATTCCTAAAATGTCAGCATTGTACACCGTCTGCTGCTGTGCCTACGGCGAGTGTACAACCAGCCTCAAGAGAGTTATGCGAACTCCATGGCAACATCAAAGATAGGATATTATAAAGCATGGTATGTTGGAATTTGAAATCTTTTATCTGGTCCGATCTATATACATGGTCTTTGTGTACTGAAAAAGCTTTTTATAGGCGTATACAAAGGTGATAAAAAATAGCAAACTATGTGCAAGAGAATTTTCTATATCTAACCTTTAAAATGGCATATTCCCCAATGATGCTAGCAAGAATTAGTATACATAGTCTGGATTGTATACAACCTTAGGTGTCGATATTCTATGCCAAGACATCACTATATAAGCTCTAGGCTTTCACTCGATGACACTTACACTAAGCTACATACATTTGCTTCCTCCACGTTTACAGCATAACTACGTAACCTCATCATAAGGCTGTCCAACAATCGATGATCATCAATATTGACCATGGTTATAATCTACACAGCAATGCGCATAGTAATGGGTCATGATTCATGCTTATCCATGCCCACATAGTACTAGCACCACACAAACTTGATGGTACTTTTGTTATCAAACCATACGTCATTGACCTGCCAAAAAACAAGTCTGTTATTATCATTCTCAAGTTTATTAAGAAAAGATCTCCGGTGTCTTCCTTGACTTGCGATCATTTTCTCTCTTCATCTATACCTCCAGTTTATACAACCTTTCTATCTGTCACGGATTCCCGGAGTTATCACTCCGTGGGATTGTTTTCCATACATATTGTGCAATATCTCCATTTCAGCAGGGGTACACAATATGGCGTCAAAGTCAGGTGAAAAGAGCATCTCCGCCTATGGAGAGGCTCGCTCAACAGTGGAAGGGAAGCCTCTCGATGCCGAGACAATCCGCAAGATGAATGCCTGGTTTCGTGCCAGCATGTACCTATGTTTGGGCATGCTTTATCTTCGCGACAACCCACTCCTCACAGAACCTCTTAAGCTGGAGCATCTCAAAGCTCGGCTCTTGGGTCATTGGGGTTCCGATGCCGGGCAATCCTTCACTTGGATGCACATGAATCGTCTCATCAAGAAGTACGACCTCGATGTTCTTTTCGTTTCCGGTCCCGGACATGGTGCTCCTGGAATCATCTCACAATCTTACCTTGAGGGTGTCTACTCGGAAGTCTACCCGGATAAAGGCGAGGATGCGGAGGGCATGAAGAAGTTTTTCAAACAATTCTCTTTTCCTGGTGGCATTGGAAGTCATGCGACCCCTGAAACACCCGGTAGTATCCACGAGGGAGGTGAGCTGGGATATTCACTCTCGCATGCCTTTGGCTCAGTCTTTGACAACCCCGATCTCATTACTCTGACCATGGTTGGAGACGGCGAATCTGAGACCGGCCCACTTGCAACCAGCTGGCATAGCACGAAGTTCCTGAACCCGATCAACGACGGAGCAGTACTTCCTGTTCTCCATCTCAACGGATACAAAATCAACAACCCGACGGTGCTCGCGCGAATTAGTCACGATGAACTCTCATCTTTGCTCGCTGGCTATGGATGGAAACCATACTTTGTGGAGGGAAGTGATTTCGACAGCATGCATCAGGCCATGGCGGCTACACTCGAGCAATGTGTAACTGAGATCAAAGAGCACCAGAAGAAAGCTCGAGAGACGAAGACCCCGTTCCGACCTCAATGGCCAATGATCGTTCTTCGCACACCTAAGGGATGGTCGGCTCCGCGAGAGGTTGATGGCCATCTCCTCGAGGGATTCTGGCGCGCGCACCAAATTCCCATCACTGATGTCCGCACCAACCCCCCTCATCTTAAGGTCTTGGAGACATGGATGAAGTCCTACAAACCAGAGGAGCTCTTCGACGAGAATGGAACCTTAATCCAGGAACTGAAGGAACTCGCACCCAAGGGTAACTCACGGATAAGTGCGAACCCAGTTGGCAATGGAGGTCTTGTACGCCGGCCGCTTCATATTCCTGACTTCCGGGACTATGGGTTCAAGGATATCAACCCAGGGTTGACAATCAAGGGAGGCATGACCAATATGGCGCACTTCCTACGTGATATAGTGGCCCAGAACATGAAGAACTTCCGGCTCTTTGGGCCCGATGAGACTGAGTCTAACAAGCTTTCTGAGGTGTATAAAGCAGGCAAGAAAGTCTGGATGGGGGATTATTTCGAAGAGGATAAAGATGGAGGCAATCTGTCCCCCGATGGCCGCGTGATGGAGATTCTCAGTGAACATACCTGCGAAGGCTGGCTAGAAGGCTACATTCTTTCTGGGCGACATGGACTGCTCAATAGCTATGAGCCTTTCATCCATGTCATTGATTCTATGGTGAACCAGCATTGCAAGTGGATCGAGAAGTGCCTCGAAGTGGAGTGGAGAGCCCGAATCTCGTCGCTAAACATCCTCATCACCGCCACTGTCTGGAGACAAGACCACAATGGCTTCACCCACCAGGACCCCGGATTCCTCGATGTGGTGGCTAACAAGAGCCCCGAGGTGGTTCGCATTTATCTCCCTCCCGACGGCAATACTCTCCTATCCGTGATGGACCACTGTCTCCGCAGTGTTAACTACGTGAATGTGATCGTTGCCGATAAACAAGAGCACATTCAGTTCCTGGACATGGATGCAGCCGTCGCACACTGTACTAAGGGTCTCGGAATCTGGGACTGGGCGAGCAACGACCAAGGCGCAGAGCCCGATATCGTGATCGCATCCTGTGGTGATGTTTCCACACACGAAGCCCTAGCCGCGACTGCACTACTACGTGAATATCTCCCACAGCTTAAAATCCGTTTTGTTAATGTGGTGGATCTATTCCGACTGATTTCCGCCATCCACCATCCCCACGGAATGTCCGATAAAAGATGGAAGTCCATTTTCACCACTGACAAGCCCATCATATTCAACTTCCACTCTTACCCCTGGCTCATCCACCGACTTACCTACAAGCGACCTGGTCAGCATAACCTGCATGTGAGAGGGTATAAAGAAAAGGGCAACATTGATACACCATTTGAGCTGGCTATGCGCAATGAGACGGATCGATACAGTCTCGCTATGGCTGCCATTGATTTGGTTCAATCTCTCGGGAACACGGCAGCGGGCGTGAGAGAGAGGCTGTACAATGAGCAGCTTGCGGGCAAGTCTGAGGCTTTCGATAACGGGATTGATCCTGAACATATTCGGAACTGGAAATGGCCCTTCCCGAAAGAGTAGAGTGCTGTCTTTTTGATATTGGGGATATTCATGTTAATACAGGTAAAAGCTGCCACAATACTCTGTAATACATTCCAAATTGTACTCGAATCAGAAGAGAATACTCAGACCTTTTTTGGGTCTTCTCTTCACCTGCTGAATCTCTAAAAAATAAGAAATCTAGGTCTTACTACTAGCAAGAGTGCTAAGGTAGCACCGCCCTCTACCATATTCTTCTATATTCAGTCCCATCTGTAAGACCATCAGGCTGCATCTAAGAGAATATTCACCATGGTAGTATATTCCAACAGTTGCTTCTCTATAGAAGTAGCATACAAAGATAATATATGATCATGAGTAACATACATAACCTTTCCTGGACAGGCCACCATATCATTGCCTATATCGAGGTTAGTATACGTACAAGCTGATATGGTGTTTATAATTTAATGGAATTAAGATTTTCAAATTCGGCAGAGTATCGCGCACCGAAGAGGAATATGCACTTCTATACGTAACTCGCCAATTCGCGGCAATATGATTTTTTAGGTAAAATACCCTATATTAAACTATTGAAGAGGGGACCGCCGCTCAAGGCTGTATGCTCGGAGGCATACTGGCCGATTTAGCACTCGCGATTTAGTTTCATACCCAACCTATATAGAGAGAAATATGGACTCCTGCCCAAGAAGTAACTTCAGAGAGGTGCTCAAGTGTGCTTTTCTCTATCCATACTTGGGCCCTTCTTGGCTTCACTGCGCATAGTCTGTGCTGTGAGCGATGTCCTTCATTTTATCGAGATTTTCCTTCAATGCATCTGCCTTGGATTGCACAAGACCGTAGCAGTCTGACCCGAGCGGCACGCGAAGGTAAGATGACGTTGCTGCGCAAAGTCCCCGACTTTCCACTGCGTCCAAAATTCGCGCGGCGGCCTTCTCAGGATCGCCTCGTTGAGTGCCATCAACAGTCTCGTAAACTTGCATGGTACGACTTAACGCAGTCCCATTGTAACCTGGGTTCAAACCAGCTGCTGGCGCAACAAATGCAGACAAAAAGCCAGTTCTGAAGCCGCCGGGCTCAATCAGCAAAACGCGAATTCCAAACTCGGCGAGCTCTGCCGCCAAAGATTCCGAGAGTCCTACACGGGTATGTCAGTTGCCAATAAGATTTTTCAATCATATAATCAAATGCTTACCTTCAATGGCGAACTTGCTGGCCGAGTATAATCCAGTAGCTGGTCGACCAACCATACCAGCAACGCTAGAGATATTTACGATACATCCAGATTTCCTCTCTCTCATGTAAGGAAGCGATCCTTGGAGGACACGAATCGGGCCATATAGGTTGGTGTTGATTTGCTTGTGCATTTCGTCTTCGCTGCGGGAACCAAAATGAAATAATCAGTATTAGAATACTAAAAGTGTATATCAGAAGCTGTTATGGCCATACCTCATGTCCTCGATGCTTCCAAGAATCGAATACCCAGCGTTATTGACTACAACGTCAAAGCCGTTGTTCTCGCGAGCAAGGCTGTGCACCTTTTCACTCGTTTTGGGGTCGGTAACATCTAATTCGGCCCATTTTCCACCGAGTCTTTCAAATTCAGGATGCGAATTTTGCGCTTTTGTCACATTTCGAACAGCTCCAATGACCTTATGCCCTGAGGTCAAGACATGATGAGCCAGAGCGGCCCCAAGGCCGGACGACGCACCAGTAATCAGCCAAACCTTGCTTCCCATCATGAATCAAGAACAGTAGAAAGATTGAAAATTAGAAAGATTTTGTGTGATGCAGGGATGAATTTAAAGTACAATTCTTATTTCATATTTCTCGGAAGTTACCCGGAGAGTGATGGAGCTAAAGGTCTTAATGCGGTGTTAACCGGAGTTAATAATATGTGATGACACTGTGGGGTGGAGTATACAATCTCTCTCTAAAATCGGACTTTACAACTTTATAACTATTCGTCTTCCAATTCAAATTATTTTGGACTTAAACCGCTGGTCCAAGGAGCAGAGAATCTGAAGAAAATTAGTCAATATCCCTTTAATATTGATTTGTATGCTGCGTCATTCTGGTAGGTCTGTTACTCCGGTACTATCCGAGTGTGCGCGTAATGCTGATAAGAATAATGTGATATAGCTTGACCTACTACAATGGCTCAGAATCTACCCCCTCGATCTCGTGATACTCGCTTGGTTGTCACCGGGCACGATGAGAAGGGCAATGCTGTCGTATTGCAAGACACTTGCAACGAGGCAAACCCCGTTGGAGACGGAACGCATCTGAATACACTTTGGTCCTCAAGTGAATTACCGGCTTCCATTGACGGTGATGAGAAAAAGGGTTCAGATCCCGCAGACGCAAACAAAGGGTCATTTTTCAACACTTATGATCTTCCACCCAACTACAGTGGCCCAATGCATCGGACAACTACATTGGATTATATTACAGTCCTGCAGGGAGAAGTTGTTCTGACTTTGGAGGATGGGAACCGAGTGGTTCTCGCCGAAGGGGATACTACTGTTCAGCAAGGCACATTGCACAGTTGGAGTAATGAGTCGAGCAAGTGGGCTCGTCTTGTTTCTGTTATGCTCCCCGCCAAGCCCCTCGTCATTGACAACAAGGAACTGGAGCCACTGTGGCCATTTTAATTATTTCCGTGAGGGAATATTACCGAAATATGTATCATTAGCGTGCATAGAATGATTGAAGGATCTAGTGGAAGGATTATTGTTTACTAAGGTGCTGCTGTAAATAAAATACAATTATATCTATGATCAAAATCCGCTTGGTTAGTGTAACCAGTGAACGAGTGATTACAATTTTTTCATCTCGCTGCTTAGTCCTATGTCAAAGCAATTTGTTCGATATTATGCACATTACTTGAATGTCAATGTAAAAGACTGTGCATACTACAGCTGCATACTACAGCTCTAGGGCTCTTAAAAACTGGGGAAAGTGCGGGGAAGGCCACACATTGCCAGCGCAAGCCTTAATATCAGAACGTAATATAGCGCCGAGCCATAAGCAGGAACCTCGATTTTATTTCCTTCTTTTGTTTTCTTTTGGCTGAAGTCTAGTTGTCATATCCGCTGTATTTTCCCTAGAACCACTTCAAAGGACTGAATAGATCCAATTCATGTACTCCGTACAGTCTCGTACACTAATCCTCATCGGGTTACCACATAAATCACAACCCGTATTATGAATCACCGAATGAGTCACTGTTCATTAGAACTATTAGAACTATTAAAATTCTCAAGAATATATCCCTTCAGGGCTTTTCTTTCCAACCAGATTCACATTCAGCACAACTACAAATCAGTTCTGCCATAATGTCTGAAGCCATTGATAACCACCAAATCAAGGATGACATAAAGAAGGCCTATGATGAGATTGCCGAAGTCTACCTAAACTGGACACAACCTTCTCATAAAGTACGCCTTTCTTATGTCGATCGCATGCTTCGATCCCTCGATCCGGCGGAGGGAAACTCCCAAATTAGCATCCTTGAATTAGGATGCGGCGCCGGGGTACCGTGTACTGAACTTCTGGCATCGCGTGAATACATCAGAGTCACTGCAAATGACATATCCGAAACCCAAATTGCCATGGCGAAAAAGCGGCTCCCTGAGTCTGTAAACCTGATACAAGGAGACATGATGGAATTGGAATTCAGTCAGGAGAAATTCAACGCAGTGATGGCCATGTATTCCATTTTTCATCTGCCACGCAACGAGCAAACCACGATTCTCCGTCGCATTTTCGATTGGTTGAAACCTGGAGGACGGCTTCTCGCCAATTTTCCCGAGACTGGATTTGCAAGCTCCTCTGATCAATCTTGGCTGGGCGGCACAAAAGGAGCAATGCATTGGAGTGGTTGGGGTAAAGATGAAATGAGAAGACTTCTCACAGAGATTGGCTTTGAGATGGAGATTGACGAGGTCGTCGTGGATTCTGAAGAAAAGAATGGAGTTTCGCAAAGCGTTCCATTTCACTGGATCTTAGCTAAGAAATGAGCACTATGCAGATATGGTAGAATCCCCATAAACCGGTGCTTTTCCCAAAATCTTCCGTGAAGATGTAGTTTCCAGACCTCTCCGTAACATCCAAGTACTCCTCTATGTGATCTGTATTCAAAGAACAAGAAACATATTAAACCTACTAGATCCTACTACATCAACATTCGTTTCATGAGTATGCCACAGTCAAGGCGCAAGACCCTGTCTTTGGCTTTGGAGTTTTGCAAGACAAGCTTGGCCTATTGGTGCACGATGGTGATTGTTGAGCATGTCCGCACGAACAAATGACACTAGACAACCCGCACAGACCCAATCTTTCTCGCCTGAATGGATCTTCCTATGTCGATTGCAATCATTCTTTCTGGAAAAGCGCTTTGGGCAGATATCACACGAAAACGGACGATCTGCCGTATGTGTCAAAAGGTGGGACTTAAGATTGAAGAGCCTTTTGAAGTCTTTTGCACAATGTGGACACTTGAAGTCTTGCTTCTCTTGAGTCTTCGAACGTTTTGTGGGTCGAACCTCTGGCTCAGAGTCTGAGCTTGATGGCTCTTGTGAATGAACTGGAATATCAGGTGTGGCTTGCAGAGCTTGTGCACTCTGCACTTCAGGTGCTCGCTGGGGAGTAGCTTGTATCACGGGTGTCCTTTGCCGAAGGCTTAGCTTGATGTCTATGTCGGATGGGAAGCCTTGGCTCTGTGATGCATCTGGGTGGGCATATCTCATGTGCCTTTTCAGACTGGTCTCCGATACAAAACCAAAAGTAAAACTGGTGCACTTTTCGTCACTGCACCTCCATGCTCGGTCATGTCTACTGATGTGTTCATCTCGCTTCTCGGATGAGGGAAATCCGGAGAAAAAGAATTGGCAGCTGAAACGTGGGCATCGGAACAGATTGTCCCCATATTTCTGTATCATGTCCCTTTCAGATGAAGGGTCCGTTGACACTATTTTTTCTATCCCTTCGCGGATATCACCCACAAGGTTGAATAGGTTCAGTGTAAATCCATCTTGCTTGAGCGGACCAAATGAGTGGAGTTGCTTCTTGGTTGAGACAACAATCTGCTCCAGCTGCTCATAGAAGGTGGTATCTTGGAAAACTTGGAGCCTTTTTTTATTACGGGCCGATACCTCTAGATATTTCTTTGTTGGAGACCAATGCAGATCAATGAAGACACCTAATGACTCGGCGAGGGGAGCCATAATCTCTGTGTAATCTTCTTCGAGCAAAGCCTCGCAGGGCTTGAGTGCATCTGATTCCTCGGACGTACTTTGACGAGGTCTGGCTGCCTCTACCTTTGTTCTTTCGATTCGACGGGTTGCTTCCGCAATTGCTCCTTCAAGATGTCTAACCCAGTGGATAACGGAATATTCCATGAATCCATAGTCGCCGCGGCGAATATCATGCTCGAGCGGCGTGTTCACAAAGAGTGGAAAGTTCAGATAGTTAATACATCGAGCTGCCATTCCGATATCTCCTTTCAATGGATCGACAAGGCCTTCTTTGACTAAAAACCTGCAATCAAGAACACTGTCAGTGAAGCTTTTAAAAGGTTCAGCCAAGGCCATACAATCTTGCCGTTAAATGTATCAGCTCGACACTTCCGTCGTCCCGTACTTCAACGAATGACCCACAGATGTCCCTCGGGTCTTTTACCAGAAACCCTTGCCTTTGGAAATCAATTGATTGTTGATCAAGATCCATAGACTTCAAGACTTGAATTTCGCGCCACCTGAGGGGCTTTCTTGCCAACACCAACCATTCAAGTAGCGCTAAAGCATCTTTCATTGAAGTCCGTGAAGTATTTTCTTTTATTCTGGAGAGTATTCGTCGATACCTGTCAAGCTGTAAGACAGAGAACGAAGGAGAATACGAGTCGCACTTACGCATCATTTACCCCAGAGGGGAAAATATTCGGATCCAGCTCTTGCTCCAGCCCTACAATTGTAGTCTGTGCGGATAGATTCAACCAAATCAGTTCTGCAAGTAGAAACATGCCTAGTCAGTCATTAGCAAGCCAGATCTCAGAAGTGAAATTTGCCCACATACCACCAGCTTGCTGAGCTACCGTCGCAGCGATACTATCCGCCATGTCTTCGGAGATGTACAAAGAAGCCCTCAGCTGGTCTGCCTCACGCCGGCAAAAGCCTTGAAGGTCATTCTTAATATCATCGGGTCCTATGGTAAGACTTGTAATCTCATTAAAGTCTTTGCGTGCCAGACTGTCGTTTTGGCTGGTGAAAAGACAGCGCAGCCTCCAGGGCTCGGTAATGGGCAGACTTTCAACCAATGTTCTGAACCATTGAGCGATGCTTTTCCGTTGCTCTCTTTCACACTCATCGAGCCCGTCAATAATAATATATGCACTTTTGCAGTTCCTGAATGCAAAATCTAAAAGCTTATTGACTTTCTCTGGGGAAGTAAGCACGGCTTCTTTGCTGTTACAGCATTCCTGGTAGAAATAAAGAAGCAGATTTTGGTCCTGCTCCAAGATTTGAGCGAGCAGACTTCGCGCTAATGCTAAAAAGCTGTTACGCTCGGGATCGCCATGTTTGCAATAAAAGAAAAGAACCGTTGGTTTAGGGGTGAGTTTTCGGGCTTCCTCTATCGTGAGAGATGCGAGGACAGTTTTTCCTATCTGGTGTTCAGCATTCGGACAAGTTATTTTCGGTATGAAAGTCCCATACCGGCGCCTGGAATCCCATTCAGCCAAAGCAAAGGAGGTATTTTGGGGTAGTTCGGATCGAACCAATCCTTGAACGCCTGGTTGTCCAAAAGCCATCTTCCAGTACCAGGATTACCCGCTCGCGTTTGGGTCAAATTATATTGATTTCCATCAACATCAGGTGCTCTAAGCCAGTTGAAAACAGTGCGTGATCGCCGCAGGGATTCATATTGCATTTCGGCATTATGCCGATCGTCCACTAGACGACGCGCTTCCTGGGAATCTGCAATCTGGACCAGGCCTGCTTGACTTTCGATTAAAGCACGATGCCGTGCCATGCCCGAAATAATATTGGAGAAACGTGATTGTTGGGTTTTCCAAGTCGCATGCCACAGCTGCTTCCACACTATAACAAAATCAGTAATGTGTTGCGCGTGCATGGAAATATGGATTTGAATGACAACGCTGCTGGAAATATTGAATAGCAATGCGATGGAACTTGAGAATGTCCTCATACATGAGCGAGAGTACCTTAATCATGTGAGGATTGGTGTGAAACAGCTCCTGGTATTGCAAGAGCAAAGGCAGGTTCTCTCCTATGTATTCGTACGTGTCCAGCAGTTCGGAAAAAGCGCTTTCGAAAGTATCTGCGATCTGAATCCTGTTAGTGCTTTCGTAATCTAAGAATTTAACCATGGAATAACCAGTGTCTTACTAGGAGCAGAAACTTGACTGGTCCCTACGAAGGTCAGCCTGAAGATATGAGGTTGAATGTTTACCAGGTCTCTCTTACCCAAAGAAATGGCACGAGCTCACTGCTATTGCAAAATACCTCCACCACCTTTCCAAACTGATTCATAGCCTCTAGGAATGGCTTCAGTCGATTCAAATTCTGCATACGGCGCTGAGACCGATGCTTGGCCTGCAACTGCGTGAGACATTTCTCTAAATCTTCCAGCGTAGAGAACTTAAAGTTATCGCGGTCCTTTTTATTAAGATCTTTTTTGAAGACCTCAAGTGATCGCTCAAACAGTGGTGTATATGTGTTGGCCATTGTTGTTTAGAAATAAAGAAAGAGGGAGGTTGGAAGGATGCGAGGATGTGAGGATGCAAGAGGGCTGAGCTCTCGCGTGCGGCTCTGCGCCCCCTCTTCCCTCTTCCACACTCTTGGGGCCATTTGACCTTCACCATCCAGCACCTTTCTTTCTTTCTTGTTTGCTTTCTATTTTGTTTTTGTTTTGCGGGGGTTTCTGGGATATTCGAGCCGACGATGTCTATTTTACAGGACTCGCTGGAGCAAAACTCGCTATTTCAAGCCGAGCTTTCTTCGGGAGCAATCATTCCACAAACTGATGTTTTCGATGAGGAAATATGCCTGGGAGCAGTAAATCTTTTGCTATTTGAGCGCACTATATGTAGCTAACTCTAGATAGATTATTGGTATCACGGCACAGCTGGATCGCGATGATGCATTGATTCGATGTTTGGCCGACCACGGCGCACCTTTCCTATGTTTCTCGGTTCTCAAGGAGGGGAATTTCTTCCTTCTTGGGCATGAAGAAGATAAATTCGCCCGTCTCAACAAGCAGCTATGCACCGGTCTTTCAAAAGCGACAAATGATCAACAAATTCGACTACAGGCATATATTACTAGAGAAGATGCAAGGTTAGCAGTGCGGAAAAAATACGGCGAAAGGCTGCTACCAATTGAAATCAACGTTTACGCCCCCTTAAATGGCGTGGACGATGTGGGAGCTAGATTGAGCAAATCTCATATTTTCCTGCAGCCTCTTCGCTATGGGCTTGAGGAGAGGAGATACATGAATCCACATGTTCTACGATTTGAGGGACAACCGAGTGACGATTTACTCCACTATTCTACTATAGCTGACTGGGAAGAGATAGATCCAAATCACTTATCAAGCAATGAAAGCCTCTCTGATGATGTTGATGAAATTGACATGGACGACATGTTTGGTGTTCAATTGCAACATATATTTCAAGCCAACGTGCCTATCGACCGGCGTATCAAGAGCGACCTCTTACAGTAAGCGATTTTGACTAATCATCGAGGGCCATAAGTTGACAGTTTGTATCAGACATCAGAAAGAGGCAATCGGGTTTATCTCCCAGCGAGAACATGGACAAACATTGGAACATGGTCTTTGGGAATATAACGATACAGACGAAGATGAGCCATTGTGATAGCCACCACTGCCCTTGTATAGAGTTGAAGTCGGTATTGATCTTCGCTACAGTTACCAGCATGTTTTCAATGGCGAGAGGCGCGCAAAGCCACAAGAAGCCAGCGGCGGAATTCTGGCCGATGAGATGGGCCTGGGGAAATCCCTGGTGACTCTGTCAGTCATCGCTGGTTCTCTCGATGAGGCAGAAAATTTTTCAGGGCGACAGGAGCAATCGGACGTTTCCCAAAAGAAGAACCCAACTCAGGCGACACTTATTGTGGTTCCATCAACGTGCAAGTCTTGGCCCAAAACCATGAGGAAGTACATTTATAGTATCTAATAATTGATCCGATAGTATTGATTGATAATTGGGTCAATGAGATTCGCAAGCAAGTCTTTTGCAAAAGTTTCTCGTGTAGATATACTGACTCGGGTCTAGGCATACATTTTTCGGCAGTCTGTTCGTCCACAAACATATCGGAACGGAAAGACACGCGGAAAGAGAACTGCTCCAGAAAAGCGCTATCGTCTTCACTACTTATGCAACACTTACCAGTGAATACCGCCGGGGGCAAAATACCCTATCAAAGATTGACTGGTTCAGAATTGTACTCGATGAAGGTAGTCAAAGATTATTTTGGAATATGTGTTATTGATAGAAACTGATATCCTAGTCAGCTCATTACATCCGCAACCGTGCCACCAAGCAGTTCCAAGCCGTCGTCAACCTATCAGCCCAGCACCGCTGGTGTCTTACTGGAACGCCCATCCAAAACTCCATTGAAGACTTGGGCGCTCTGGTCGCTTTTCTCAGGGTTCCGATCCTTGATCGCATCGCACCATTTCGCAAATTCATCTCAGGGCCCATATCTTCAGGTAAGAGAGATCGTTTTCATAATCTTCAAACACTTCTTCATGCAATCTGCATTCGAAGGACAAGAGATGTTTTGAACCTACCGGAGCCTAATACAGAAACCCGAAAGCTTCCGATGTCATCCACGGAGAAAGCACAGTACAAAGATCTGTTGGATGAATGCAGGACAAAGGTTGATATGGCGGTCAGTGGGAGAAGGAGTGGGAAGGTTAATTCTACAGTCCTAGAGTCTCTTCTCTCCTTGCGCCTGTTCTGCAACAACGGGAAAGCCACAACTAGTGTTCCATTAGACTCAGATGAAGCCCTCTCCTATCTGGAACAGCTGGATAAAAATGTTTGCATCTACTGCTCCAGCACAATCTTCTGGCTCAGCGACACACCCGATACAGATGGAGGAATTTTCCTTGCCAGCTGCCGTCATTTAGTTTGTCACAGTTGTATACCTGACCATCGCTCACGACAGAGTAAATGCCCTTGTTGCGATTCAGATGATGCACAGTCTGATTGGTCAACTCCCTTGTTTGAGAATTCAAAGTATCATCACCCGCAGACTGGAATTGGTGCAACACCTCGGATGAAGCAATATCCTACAAAGCTATTGGCTCTTCTATCTGAAATTTCCCAAAATCCCGCCCAGAAATGGTATTTGTCACAAGAAACACTCTCTATCTCTTCTTGTTGAACTAACCATCTTGTTTATCTTTTAGTGTCGTCTTTTCAAGTTGGAAGAAGACTCTCTATATCGTTGCCAAGCTTCTCTCCAGCAATGGAATGAATACAGCATGATAGAAGGATCGTTTCCTTTATCAAGACGTCTACAAGAATTACAAAGATATCAAGATCACAAGGAAACAAACGTTCTCCTATTGACCCTTGGGACGGGTGCTGTTGGGTCGGTTATCACTTCTCGATTATCGAAACAATCTGTTAATGATTGAGATAGTTTGAATCTTACCACCTCGTCGCGTATCTACCTTCTTGAGCCACAGTGGAATCCATCAATTGAAGCTCAAGCGATAGGTCGGGCCCTTCGACTCGGTCAAGTCTCCAACGTGACTATTATTCGGTACATCATGGAAGGCACCATTGAAGAGGTGGGTTAGCAACAGTCTATTGTTCGGATGCTATCTAACAATACGCAGAGTAATGTCTTATCACGACAACGGAAAAAGCTGCAATTAACCAAGGGCGGATTCCAAAAATCGGATCACACCGCATCTGACAGAATCCAGTCATTACTAGTAAGAACCACCTTCTCTTCTTACCGAGAGTCTATGGGCTAAAGATCCGCAGGACCTCTTCCAGCTTGAATCCTCGACTCATAACTAATGAACGGCGGATAATCACGTCCTTCAAAAGATTAGAGGAAATTGGACGTGTCCAGAATTCGTCTAGCGATCTCGTCGACTCTACTTACTTACAGATTGCAGCTGCTCGAAATTTCATGCATATCTGAAATGTGTCACTCTACTGAATAATAAACCTTTCCGATTCGAAAGTATCCCGTAGAAAATTATCGCTACTGACGACAATATAGAATTGTAGAACATATAGAATAGCATCATCAGATCCTAGCCCTCATCTTATTCAACTGCATTTGCTTTTTCGCTTTTCTTTCGGCTATATTGATATCATCATTCCTATAAGAACGAGGGTACACGTTATACCTCGATAGGCTGTCTGCTCCCTATATTCAGTCAGATCGGAGCCTACGTTAATGCCGGTCATCTCCGCGCTCCAACCTTGGAAGATATGGAATTAAAGAATGCGGTAGGCTTCGGGCTCCACCTAAAATTTAAGCTAGGTATCCAAGTCGTGATTTGTAGGATAATGATATAAACCCCACTCAGACACATCATGGCTCAGCTACATATGGAGGGATCCAGATAAGATAAAGGTTTCAAACACAAATCGTTGGCAGAACTGCCTTCGCTTGCTGTGATTGGTCCTCTCTGCTTAGTTTCGATTATGTGAATCAGAGAGCCGGTCAAGGCAACTACTCGGGCAGCCTAACAATAAATTACGGCCTTGTCATGTAAGTCGCCATTAAAAAACATAGACAATATTCGTTGGCTGCCGTCTAGAAACCCCCTGGGTTGCATTCCTATGTGCAAATTTACACATCCGTCATATTACTCCAACCCTACATTAGGTCTAAGACTGCGCCCAGGTTAAGTTATTATTCGAATATGGACATTTTATCTGAGCATCGAAGGGTTTATACACCAACCAAAGAGATAGCTAGGTTAATGTTAGCCCAGGTTCCTAACATTGTCCTCCGTATCTGCGATTTGTGAAATAATACAAGCGGTTCCTACCTAATCTGGTAGTAGGGAATTTGGCTATGCATCTTAGCCTCTTATATATTGTACAAACTATTTCCATATGTCCAAACATCCAGATATTGGGACGATAGAACGATGGCCAGCTCTGAGTTCACTATGCATGAGGCATAAATGGATGCATGGCACCTGATTATTCCCTTGAATGTCAGATTTGACAAACTCTTCTTCCAAGTCTCCTCGAAGACGCTACTAGGAGTACAGATCATGGCTCAGCTGCTCCACCGTGGCTGGAAGCTCGAGGACGATATTCAAAATCGAATTGCGGACAGAACAGTCTTCGCTTGCGCTGGTTGGTCATGTTCACGAGGCTTCAGCACTGGGTACTTTTGTCTGGGACATGGAAAGGCTTATAAGCCAATGAAAGAGACAACTCGGTTATACTTTCTGTTTGAGTTCAGGGCGAACACAAGATAGGTATAACCTTAGAAGCATTGCATGGCAGAGTTGTCACCCAACCCAGATGCAAAGACTACCTATTTATATCTGAATAAACATGCAGAGAAAGACTCCTTAAAATCGTAGGTCACCATACGACATGTGCTTGAAGCACCTTGTAGTTGTATTGTACAAGGTAGAGATGTAATGTCGGTTGTTTAGAACATGCACCGCTAATTGCTGACCGCTGACTCTTTGGATACCCAACCGAAATAAAAATTCCGAAGTTATCTAACAATTCCTTGATCCAAAAATAAATGTGTTTACAGACAGGAAGCATGGAGTTCCCTAAAACTCATATCCACCATCCCCAAGCGCCCCACACCCACACAGTTATCCTACTACATGGTCGTGGCAGCGATGGCCCCGAGTTCGCCGAAGAGATTTTCTCATCTTCAACCTCAAAGGGCAAAGCCCTGCCTTCCTATCTACCCTCCTATCGCTGGGTCTTTCCAACTTCACGCGACCGATGGAGCACTACATTCGAAGAAGAAATTTGCGCCTGGTTTGATGCCTACTCCTTGGGCAATATCCACGAACGACAAGAATTGCAGAAAGACGGAATAAAAGAGTCAGTCTTGTATATTCTCGATATTCTTGAGGAGGAAGCTCAACTACTAAATGGACGGTTCTCTCACATCTACCTTGGAGGTATGAGTCAGGGGATGGCAACCGCCTTGTGGGCGTTCTTCGCTGCAACTGCAACAGGCCGAATCCAAGGACCACTAGGTGGACTATTTGGTTTTTGTGGTTGGCTTCCATTCGCGCAGCAGCTAGAGCAATTGCTTTCCGAACCATCTCTTAGTCCTGGCAGCTCTCAGACACAGAGTTTAATATCCGGGTTCTTCTTTGATGAAATTGCCGGTGACATATCGCGCTCAGATCAGCCTGTTGACAGTTCTATTTTATCTACACCTGGGTTTATAAGCCATGGGTCGGACGATCCATGGGTATCTGTGGATCTTGGACGGCAGACATGTCAAGTTCTACGGAAGATCATGGTACGCGTCGACTGGCAGGAATTTACTGGGGCAGAGGGTGACGGTCACTGGGTTAAGGAACCTGAGGGCTTTGACCGAATCCTGCAGTTCCTTGAGGGTTGATTTATATAGATAAGCTACCAGCGGACTATATTACCGGAGTATTCCCTGGCTATATATAGAGATGACACCTACAGCCAGAAGAAGTTTCGGTGACTTTTAGTCTGATAAAAGTGAAAGGACGACCTTGTTGAGTGAGCACAAGGGCCTAAAGAAGACAGCAACGTTACACTTCATTCCAGATCATTCAATAAAATAAGCGAGGGAGAAGCATCTACACTGGGCAAAATCAGTTGCTTTTGCTGCCATCATATCACGGGACAGTGGACAAAATAGGAAAGTAGGGAACCTTTTCATTCTAGGAAGGTGCGAGTCTTGGGAGTATAAACCCCCCTCAATATTCTCATCTCAGCAAGCAATTTTTTCATTGCTCTACATCCTGCAGGCCTGTAAGCTTAATCTCATCTCTTCATTCACTATCTCAAGTGTCGATTTTAGCTCGACATCGATGGCCAAGGCTAACAATGCATGGGACATGAATGAAGAATGTATATCAAAGATCGATTGTATTTTAAACTGGGATATATGTATCATTATCTAATCTTATTGAACGGTCTACTCTACTACCTAGTAGCTCTTTGCCTTCTAATCGTCCGCACAACGAAAGAATATCCATGGATGTGTTGAAGGCAGGGGAGACGTTGACCAAGAAAAGATGATGATTCACAATGATAATAACGCCCCGAATTTTGCGATGGAAATTGAAAGCAGAGATCCCTGCAACAGAAGGCGATGCGCCATGGCGCCGAGTTAAATAAAAAAAAGTTGCAACAACAGCGGATTAAATGGTTGAGAAGGACATGGAGAAATAGGTGGCGTGATGTAGGTCATTGAAGCTTAAGATAGTACATTAAGGTTGATGTAAGGAAAGATGCCGTTGATATTTAACCATATCGGCCGACGGGAACGTCGTGACGGTGAAGATCCTTGGACCATTCCGGTGCAACCTTATCACGCTCGTAAAGCAGGCCACAGTTATGGCAGAGTGTCTGGAGAAAATGGTAAGAAACTGCATGCAGCGAACATTCGAGGGAGAAGTAGCACTTACCCGTGGGCCATCTGGACCATCCCGCACAGCCCAGACTGCTGTGCCCCACACCGCACAGTTCTTGCATCTCCAGCTTTGACGTTCCCTATGGACAAAAAGCATTAGTGAATATTCCAGCCAAACATATCGAGCAGCCACATACCATTCGGAAAGCGTGCCACCACCGCCACCGTACCCAGCCCCTGATCCAGTATCAGGAGTTCCTCGGCCACCAGGAGTGCCACTTCTGCCCGTTGGGCTCAAGCTGCGGAACCGGCGCTTGCGCTTATTCCTTTCTCCACGTCCAAGTGGAGTCTCACTGTCTACCTCGAAGTAATTGCCACTGTTCTGCCTTGAGAGCTCTGGTGTGATGCCCGTGGTTGAAGAGAATCTAGCTGTTTCTCGGCGCAGACGCCGGATCTGACGCTCACGGTCACCTTCTCTCCGCTCAATTTCTTCCTTGGACAATGTCTCGACTTGAGGTTGCCACCCATCACAAATTGTTTCAGGATCGTAACGCCAGCCAGCCTCCACGCCGTTGGCTGCCAAATTGTCAATTTCATTGCCGTAGCCGTTGATAAGGGCACCGCTTTCACAGACTTCCTTTTTAAACTTCAGGACGGCTTCGTAGATGGCATGCGAAATCGCACTAACCCATTCACCAGCAAGGCTGAGATCTGCGCAAGTGATGCGCGCGAATTCTTCCGCCATGCCAGGTGGGTGTAGTAGAGACCACTCGAATTTGTCTGTGTACAGCTTGTTTTGTAGGTTGATGTTGAGAGTAATCAAACACCGATATGCGTCATCTGGGTTCAGAAGGCTGTCATTTACCAGCGCTTCCTTGGTCACAGTGACGGTGGTCGTCACATTAGGCCGGCTATCAGGTGTCCCAACGTTGGCAACGGCTGGTGTCATCGGCGTCTCTCTTGACGGTTCAGTCTGGGGCAGAACACTCGGCACAGTGCCTACATCTGTGCTCTGGAATAGGGGGTGGAGAGCAACACCAGCGTATTCCTCCAGCTGCTGTCGGATTTGATTGCTGATGGTCATGGTTGTGGCTTGGGGATTTGGGAGATCAAGATCGCGAACGAAACCAATAGCAAATTCTTCAGGCGTTGACAGTGATTCGTGGAGGTTCCATAAGAAGGTATCCTTAATACGGAAGGGGGGTAAAGGTTCGGGTCTGCGATACGCAGGAAGAGTCTGGTTGATGCTAGGGTCCACGGCAGAACGTGGGAAAGGGAACGGCTCGAGGGGTTGATGAGCGGGGACTTCGACGTCAATTCGGATGGGAACGAGTGTCAAGGGGAGTTGCGCTTGAATCTGCAGTTGATCGGCACACCTAGAATCACCACGCTGTATGTTAGCCAGATTTAAGGATAGACGGGAAAGACAGTGGCGACTGTCGTTAATGGCCACATCAGTCCAGGCGATGGGGAACATACGCTGGTCGCAACATTCTCTTGATCATCCACTCGCGAAAGAGGCCTTGCACCTCCACCGGCGCATGCACTTCTTTGCCCAGCTTCTCTGAGTAGGGCACCGACTTGTCGGTAGCGGATTCTTCGCGCCGAAGACTCCTCAGTCCCGTCGGCCGCCGGGGTCCATCGTTCTCATCAAAATCATCGTCATCGAATCCGTCTTCTGCATAATTGATGGCTGTAGTTCCACGCTTCGTGGTGCGCGGAGTCGGGCCGGTCTGAGACGGAGGATTGACAGGTGTGAGCAACGCGTTTCCATACTGGCGCATGCGCGGAGGGTAGGAGCTGATATATCCTCGAAGAGGGGACATGTTGGCGATTCAATTGCACAATAACATGCCCCTTCGAGGGTACGGGCGGGAGGATAGAAAGCTTGCGATTGTTTTGATCGGCTCGATGTTCAAAGGGCTGATCACTGCAGTGAGGCACAACTGAGAATGGTCCAAGCGCGAAAGAATTAACAACGAGTACTTGTATGATGCCACAGCATAAAGTAAACGTGTGACAAAAATTAAGACCGCGTCAAAGGCATTCAGATAGGATCCAACTGGAGAGATTGGCTTTGAGATCGATATTCTGCGCGACTTTGCCCAATTCAGCGCTAGTCCCATTCCAGGGAGGACATCATGTGACTTATGCCTCAGGCCATAAATCAACCCCATTGTACTGAGGATCTATACCAGCCCCAGGGAACTAGATAGGTTTACAAACAAAAGAATAGTCGGCCGCTTATAGGGACTTGTCATGTCCTTTGAGTGGTCATTCTAGAAGTTCTTTTGGATGTTCTTGCAGATGTCTTTTTTAGGTGTGTACGAAGGCGGCAAAAACAAAGAAGCATACTCTGTGCAAGAGGCCTTTCTCTCTATCCATGGATTTATAACTTTGATGACATGAATTGCCACGAAAATACCTCTAATTGTGAATGTTGGATTCATAACGTACCCATGCCCTGGATTTCATCCCTCACGTCTTCTTCTCCCACACATTAAAACTTTCACCCTTGTTCTATTTTCTCTCTAAGTCTACGGCGCATCATGTTATCATCTTAGAGTGGAAGTCTCTGGCGTTATTGATGATTTTTGTGGGACTGTGGTCACGTTTCCCGCTAATAACAACACCCCTTTCATGCAGAACTGGGTGATTGACAAACAGCTCTCCGAGCACATCCATCGCTTCACTAATCATAAGATAGGGGAAGGACTTGGTTCCTCCTTCGCTGCCAGAAAATTCACTTGTCACATCGAGAATGGCACTGAGACTGGTATAATGAGAATTCACCTCCATGTGCCAAATCTTCGCACAGAGTTTCACAACAGTGCCCACCGTGCAGTTCAAACTGCAAAAATCACCGGGGCACGCTGAGATCGCTGCCTTCAAGACTCTACAGTCCGCCCAGTCTCACGTGGCCCCTCGACTTCTTGCCCTACGCGAAGACGCACAGGGCAATGATGGTCTCATCCCAGGTGGGTATATCGACTACTTGGCATGAGCTACAGTTCCTGGCAAACCCATCACCAAGGAAGAATTCTGGGGGCTGCATCCCAGCCTCCGCGATACCATCCGTGGGAAGTTCAAGATCCTCTACAGTCCTCTACAGGCTCGTTTATATTCTACACCCCTATACTCAAAGAAACGACAGTTACTCTAACCAAGAACAAGTGAACTCGGCTATCACGGGTTTAAGGTCAGCCCTTCTCGCATAGGAAAGATCATTTACGACACTGATTCACAGGCTATATATATGCGATATAAGCTAACTATTCAGGCACAGAAGCCATTCCACCTATGCATCTCTGTGGTCTTCGGGTAGCACACCATCCTGAGAAGCTAGTGGATTGGAATGACACTGTTTATGCGTTGTATGGATTGATACAGGCTCCCGCAGTGCAGGGTTGGACCTAGGACCGGGCTAGCTGGATATTGTGAAATCCATATACTACGATGGCGTAGTATCGATCCACCTAGCGGAAGTGCAATAATAATTAGCTGAATGGAAAGAGCTTGGACATCTTGAACCTGATCAAATAAACCCTTGGTGAGTGTCGTATGAATACAAGACAAATCCAAAACAAGCAAACAGAATGTGAGGGAAAGGCTACAATTGCCAACTAGATCTGCCCCATATATTCATCTCCACAACTAAACTAACAGATGTCCAAGAAAAATTTACCAATCAGACTAGAAAACGAATGCACCGAAAGGAATGAGAACACCCAAACTGCTGAGTACGCCAGCGCTGCTGTCGGTAAGATGAAAACTTGAATATTTGTTGCAGCCATATTTAAATGCAACTTTAGAAAAAAAAATAACAGTCGAAACTTCGAGGCACAAGGCCGGGGGAATGATAATCGCATATGCAAGGGAAAGAAGAAGCGAAAAAAAAAAAAATCAGCGAAGCCCAATAACACTCTGCGATGGGATTAGCTATCAAGGGTCGATTCCACTGAGCATGGGGGTCTTACCATCTCCAAGGTCCACACACGCCGGATCCAAACCTTTACTGGCCCCTCAACGCCTTCGACGTCGTTCAGCTCGATGCCCTCCCACCAGCAGCGGCGAGCAGGCTTACGCCAGAACAGGAGAAGCTTCTGGGCCATACCCACAGAATTGTTGTTTGACAGATCTCCACGGATATCAGTGCGAAGTTTGGCCAGTGCAAGACTGCAGATTACTGCCTTGTTAGGCTCCGGAGCGCGGTGGCCCCACTGGTCAGCACGATCAAATCCTCTACATTGTATATTAGCATTGGACCATGATTAAAATTGTGAGTTCTACTAACCCGGCTGTGAGCATTTCAATTAGATGCTGCTCAGTTGACCCAATCTCCTCGCTCTTGCGCAGTCCAGAGAAGATGCCGTCTTGTCTCAACAGCGACCTACCAGCCGCCCGCTTGACTTCGAGCATCTCATCGTGTCCAATGTCAGCGCGAGGGGGGATCACATAGAAGTCAAGATCCTCTCGGAGGACAATGATGCCAGCACGGTCCTGCAACATGTCACGAGCTGAGCCTTGCATTGGGTCCGACAATTCCATGTCTGGTGAGTTTGAGCCCGAAGGCAGAGAGGAGGGAATGGTCTGGGCAACAGTTCGGAAGAAATCCAGCATGTACTGAAGCGAGACTGGGTCATACTGGATGATAACTGTCAGAGAGACTTTAATACGCAAGATAGGAATTTTCATACGTCAACTGGGAATACATCCCCGTCATGGAAACCATTTGTAGAATGTCCATCCGGGAGGAGGCCATTGGGGAAGAGAGAGAGCAGAACGAATTCAGGCAAAGTCAACAGCTCATCTCGTGAAAGGGTAAACCGCGTACCACTATAAACTCGTTAGTTCATGCATGATTGAGATGGGAATCAATGTGTGATCCTACCGAAGGTCAAGACCGACGTGTTCATCTCCGCCAATATCTATTCTCACACGTTAACGCAAAGCATATCAAACCGGCCTTTGTTACCAAACATACCACCAAGAGTGTTAATTGGCGGACCCCCGGTCTGCTGGACCTGGGTTATGATGCTGGAGGCACCTCCTGCAGCGGCCATCACGTAGGTGAATGACTCAAGTGGACTATAGCCTTCTGTGTATGGCGGCGGTGGTTCACCGTCGTCGGAAGAGCCCTCGTTTTTTGGTTCGGTGAAAGATGCTTTTGTATCAGCAACAACTGCCGAAGATGGGGCCGGCTCGAGCGACTCCTCGACAGGTGCTGGAGGCGCTAAGGCTGGAGGACAAGCGGGTCCCGGTTCAGTGACTTTATATGGGCGATTGGCGTCTGGTAGTGAAGAGAAGATAAGAGATGAAAATGGCGGAGGATATGCGGGTGAGGAACTTGATGCCGACGCTGGGGAGTGTGGTGGAGGTGCGGTGTAATAATCGTCGTCCTCCTCTAGGGAGTCCGTTGGATGGGGCGGGCACGCCGTGGTTGATGGGTCCGACGGCGGCGTTTCTCACGACACCGTGATTTTCTATTATTGCCTGAATCACGTCAGACAGGACGATACGCGCAACAAAAATGATCGAATCCCGACCTAGTCTAGCAATGCGACTGATCTGGGTCGAGCCTCGTCCAAGTCGGGCGTGTTCGAGAGTGACGGTTTTCCAATTCAATGACTTTCAGCACCGGGATGAAAGAATATTACCAAAACAAGTACAACAGATATATGCTCTCATCTGCTAAATTCGCAGTGATTGAGTATTGCAGAAAGAGAGGCAGCGCTTAGAGGTTGGGGACGACGGGTAGATCAACTCAGGTGGACGGCGGTAAGTCCGAGCGCCTCCTTAGCCATCGAAACCTTGGCACGTGCCGTGTCCTCTTGTCTTTTGTTTTAGTTTGGAGTTAGCTTGCATTTAGTTTGGATTTCCTATCTCTTGAGTCGAATTATCACTGCGGGATGATATTATTAGACGTGCTTAGCGAAATCATATAATAACCTCAAGGAGTATGGCTATTGGCTTTGACCTGTTTCTAGTCGGACCCCCGCAAAACCTCCTTGATCTCTCATTTCATACGATTGTCAGCCTACTTGGATTTTCATTCTGATTTTCATTCTAATTTTCAAAAGAATATACGTACTAGATTGTAGATACATTATATGAGCTACTTCCCTTTCTAGTTTTCGTAGCATGCTCGTTATAAAGGTCGAATATCATTTTCATGGTCCATTTTTGATGCGGATTTACGACCTTGTTGAATATACATCCACACAGTCTTAAGCCATGATATATTGTACTTTCGCTATTAATATCACAGGGAAAACATGAAGACTCAAATGTGACTTGGTAGAGACTGTTGGTACGGAGTAGTGTGGAATAGGGGTAGTCACAATGACAAAGGTCGCATGTCTGAAAAGATATCAGAAGGATGCTTATGTGTGTAAGTAACTATTTTTATGCGAAAAGACATAAGTACTATATGTGCATTTCATTTGCATACTTCAATATTTTTATAAATATATAAACATATCAGACGTTACGATCTGCAAAGCTCTGAATCAGACCCTCGAGAGTCGGTTCATACTCCTTCAAGCTGACCTGGTCGCCCTCGAGAATAGTGTTGGCCTGTACGAAGACCTTACGTGGGACCTTGTTCTTCAAAACAATGTCACGAACAGTAGTTCCCCACCAGCTGTCAACAGAGGTAATATCGTCGTACAAGCCCTTGCCAGCCTCGATATCTGCGGTGCTCTTGTAGATATGCAACTTCTGGAGGTACTTCTCAACAGCAGGTCGTCCGTGAGTCAGAATCTTGGATCGGTCGAGATGGATCTCTAGATCAGAGAGATCTTCTTTGTTGTAAGACAACTTGACAAAGTCCTCACCGGCATCGAGGAAGGTGCGCAGAATACTGTATCTAGCCTGCATGTGTGCCTGGCCCCATTTCTGAGTCTTCGGATCCCAGAACTCGAGGGCAACCAGACCAGCGCGAGCCATGGAAAGGTAGGCTGCGAACAGGACATCGCCGGCCTCACCAGCCAAGTCTTCCTTGCCATCGCCGAATCCGAAGATCTTCAGGATTTCAAAGTCGCAGGCAAGCACCATGGCCACGCACTCGGCACGGCACTCCTCATACGATGAAGCAATGGAACCAAAGACCGAGCTCCACGTCTGTCCAGGCTTGTACCAGGTTGACACGGCCTTGTTGGTGACGGGGCTGATGGGTGGGTTCTTAATGTCAAAGTTATACTCCCCCGGCGCTGTCTCCTGCAGCAGCTTACCAGTTCCATGACCCAACAATTCATGGATGCCGACCTGGACCTCAAAGGCTGGGTCCCGGAATGCGCGGTAAATCTCCTGATCACTCTCAGCAATGAAAGGAATAGCCTCGTTAGGGGCCTTGGCGCTAAGAACATTGCCCAGAGACACGTTCTTGAAGCCAAGGTTCTGGCGAATGTCATCATAGTTGGGCAGGTTGATGCCAGCTGGGAGACCGGAGCCGGCGAAAGTCAAGACCTCCAACGATGTGAAATCGGGGCTGAGGAACTTGTCTTTCTCAAAGGCTGTACCCCAGGGCAGCTTGGGAATCATGCTCTCCGCACTATCAACCAATGTACCAAAGGCTCGGGTGCGTTCCAGATTGACCTGCAAATGTTAGCGACGGCAGTCTATATGATTTCAGCACGTTTCATACCAAAGCAACGAAGCCTTCCCACTCTCCACGCACACCATGAGGGTCTCTGTATGTTTCAACAAAGCCCAGGTTCGTCTCGAGCACGGGCTTCTGGTCTTTAACCCAGATGCGCTGGCTCTCCTTGAAAGCCTCGATGGACCCGGATCCAAATGAGAGAGCATATGAATCCAACATTTTCTTCTGGTTATCATTTGCAGCAGCAAGTCCCGCCTGCTTGATGCTGTGCGCGATCTTTGCCATTTCCTCTTGGTAGTCACCGAAGACAAGACGCAGCGTCTTTCCCTTCAGATCTCCGTCAAGTACAAATGTGTCGACATCACCGAGATCCCGGTCTTTCACAGGAGGCGATGAAACACCAGATGCGATCAAAAGCTCGAAATCGCCCGAAGATGTCTTCCGGATTCTAGTATTCTCCAACGCAAGTCCCTTCTTCTCCATCAAGTCACCAATTGCCGTAATCTCCTCCTTTGAGATCGTCGGCGAATCGGGGTAGTAGGTGGTAATGTGGCCGCTCTTGGGATATCCTAGGTGCATCATCGACTGTTCGCTGGTCTCATAGATCCCTCCTCCAGTGCTGTTAGCCTTCTGGAAGGCCGCCTTCGTCTCCGCAGTAGCCGAAGCCAGAGCCTCGAATGCGGATGCGGACAGCCGAGGGATGAACTTCGAGTCACCAAAGCCCTTGTAGTTTCCACAGTTGCCCAAGAATTGTCCCGCATATTCAAGGAAGAAACGGAGGTCTTCGGAGCTGACTTGTGTTTTCTCGGCGAGGCTGTTCCAGTCGCCATTTGAGGCGCGGTGGAGTGACAGGATGAGGTCGTATATAGGTTCGGACTCGGGGGAAACCTGGCGCAGGGTGACTCGAGTGCCCTCAAATGCGGCTCTGTACACATGCGAGAAAGGTTAGCTGCCAATAGCTCTTACAAGATAGGGTACTGCGGGTGGGCCCCAGGAACACAGGAACACCATACCTGCTCATGAAGTGGGCATATTTTTTCAAGTTTTGGTCTTTAAGGGTATCAAAGTGTGACTTGATTTCCAGCCTGACCACGGTAGGAGGCGAGTCAGCCAAGTAGTGCTGTTTGATGCTTTCGTCCATGGCGCGAGTTATATGGGAATGCGAGGAGAATGTTTTTGCCAGTCTGAGAGTCGAGAGGCTATATATCCGATGGAGGGGTAACAAAGGTATCACGGAGCTCCGGGAAAACAAATGCGGCGCAATGCCACGCATGGAGTACATATGGAGGGGTTTGACGACGAAGTATGACATATGATGGAGAGGCACCAATCAGGTACGTGGCTCCGTAGCTGCGGTCGGATCCCCGAAGGAGTCCGATCGGCATGGCTTGACCCAGATTTCGATTTGGTAAGTAAATGTTTTAAATTTGTCACTTTTCTTAATTACAACCGTTGTAATTACTATTTACTTTGTCAAGAATGTACATAATAGTAATAACAGCAATAAGGAGGGGTATCAGCCAGAAAATAACAAGAATTGACCCCTTATATCAGACTCTCATACTTGTCCAAGCCTTGCTTTTGAGTTCCCTGCTGCGTCGCGGCTGTGCCTTGGAATGACGTTGATCTGTTGGCTGTGTTCACCGGAGGGGGTCTCATAGTGCTGTTGGACAACATGTTTCCTACAGGAGGCGGGGGGATTGAGAATGAGGAGTAGTTGGGTGCCGGTTGTGCAGTTGATCCGGATATATGATTCGAGGGTGTCATGGTCGACATGGACCCCAAAGACTGACCTGGTGGGCCTGTGTGGGATCGAACATTGGCACTGGCCGGGGCTCCCCAGATAGAAGATGAGGGCTGCATAGCAGGGAAGGCTTGAGCAACCGGTGAGGCTTGCCGAGCAGGAGCAGGAGCAAGAGACGGGAAAGAGCCCAATTTCTGATCTGGAGTAATAGAACGGAAGCCAAGATTAGACTGCTGGCTTAAGGCATTCGCCTGTTGTGTTATGCCTGCATTATTTGAAGTCCAGGAGAATGAAGGCGACATGCTAGGGACCGCTGGCTTGGCCGGCTCCATACTCCCCCACATATCTATACTCTGGCCATTCGTAGGAGACGCCTTCTTTCCAAGAACAAGGCGCTCAAAGCTGCCAGCACCGGCGTCCACATCGGGCGAAGTGAGGCTGGTGGCAGACGGCGAAAATTCGTCGGCACCGTTCTGGAAGCCCGTTGATCCAGCGGCAGAGGATAGCTCTTGCAGCTTTTTGGTTTGTTCCTGTTCAATCCTAGTTGAAAGAGTTTTTATCAAAGCCATAAAGGCATTGAATTGTTTAAGACTCAAAAGTGGCCCAAGACTGAAACTCCAGAGAACCGGCAGGACTTCCAAAGCCAGGAATTCGGTGTCTGCGACAGTTCCAATCTGGCGAAACACCTTCAACGATGCCATCATCACTGACGGTTCTTTCGTTTTGATCGCCTTGAGAGACGGAACAAGCTTTTCTTGAATGGTGTACTTGTCCAAAATCGAAGACTTAGTTGGTTTCGACTTGGTCGCCTGGATTCCAGACAAATCATCGTCAAGCCCGTCTGAAACATCTGCCGAGGCACCGCAAAGCACACTAAAAGCTTCCAGACTGCGAACCTTGATAGCAAGGCTGCTAGTGCGACTAAAAGTTGCAGCAATGGGAGGGAATACCTCGTTCTTGACTGTGCTAAAGTCCAGAACTGGGAGCATCACAGGGAGACATTTAAGGGAAGCATCCACCAAGGAGTGTGTGGGAGAATCCAGCCCGAGCCGAATCAGGGGTAGAATATCTAGAAATAAATGTTAGATATAGGCTCAAAGGTTTCCATTGACAAACCGCACCATCCTTGAATTCCATTCCCGAACAACTATCAGCAATCAAATTCATGTTATCAAGCACAACCATGAGGCCGGCATCTTTCTTCGAGTCTCGTTCAGCAGCCCCCTTGCCTGAGCCAATTCCAAATACTTCTTTCAGACGAGGAATGATTCTCTCTGGGAACACGCGACGTGCGTTGGGAATCCGCTGGAGAATGCCGAAGACGTTTTGCAATATCAGCGGAAGCAGTTCCCGATCCTTCAATTCGTCCATCAACGCTCCCAATAGTTTTCTCTCGAGGACAGAAACAGGGAACTCAGGTAGTACCCGTTGCAAGCCACGCAAGAATTGAGACTTCTCGTTAGGATTTTTTGTTGGCAAAGATTCCAGGAACCGGATAGTGGAAACTAGCACATTGTCAAAGTACTGTGATTGCTGGAACTCCCGAGCATTCATTCGTTGGGCAGGCCGTCTGGTAATTAGTCTCGGTAGGACATGAGAAACTAGATCTTTGGGGATCGGCTTCGAACAGAGGAAATTATTGCTCTGCGATGGAGTGGTAGACGGAGAGCTGAGCAATTTCTTATATGTAGACAAATTTCCGTGCGTTTGTAAAGGCGAGACATGCGGAGAATTGTACAGAGCAATGATGACGAGACCCAAAGAAAATAGATCGGCGGCTGATGATACGTTGGAGTCCATAGCAAAGTCAGGCGACGTGTAGTCAAGGGCCAATTGTACTGAAGCGGGAAGCCTCGGTTCTTGATAGAGAACCTCAGACACAGCCAATGGCGGCAGCGACGAACGAGTTTCAGAAGAGTCCGGAGGCCCCGCGAATCCCAGACCAGAGATCTTCCAATCTGATTTGGCATTGATATAGATGGCCTCCGGGTTCAGGTTTCCATGGACTAAGCCAGCAGACTCATGGAGGAATTCAAGACCCTTGGCAACTTGCAAGAGTCCCTTTTGAATTTCCAACTCATCAATCTCCATATCTCTTCTTCTCCGAGTCCCATCCGCCTCTTCAACCACGTACCGGCTGCTTCGCGAACCAGCGCGTGTGGTATTCTCTTGGTCATCCTTTTCTAACAACAGCCCGGAAAGTGAGGCAGTCAGATGTTCCGTGGCAAACATAAGACCACCGCTACGCGTCTCCTCCACAGGCTCAAGCACCTGAAGAATCGATGGGTGCCGTAGGCGCGCGAGATTGCTTGCTTCGCGCTTAAGCCGCTCGATCACATCGTCCTGTAGCTTCTTGGGGAGGACCCAGAACTCCTCCCAAATCCACTAGAGCGTGTCTCTAGTGACTTGCGATCAAAGATAAACACCGATGCCGCCGTTCCCGTGGACTTCTTCTTTGCATCGTGGATTTTCCAGGGGCCGGAGTAGACGGTGGGGTTAGGGGAGATTTGGTAATTGGCGGAAATATTCGAACTGAACGACTTCAGTGCAGATGAGAACATGGTGGATGAGGCCGCAGGCGAGAATTGGTCTGAACGATAGTCGGCGGAATGAAGGGAGTTGTTTGTTTCACAGTGTCGTCACGGTGTAGCCAATACAAGACATGTTTATTTTCAACAATATAGCGGAATGTAGAAGGGGTTCAAAGGGAGGTGAGCCGATGTTGGAACTCGATAGCTAATGGGGAGTCAAAAACATTAGCTCGAAGGCTGAGAGGGATTGTTCGAAGGTTGCATACTTGGTCAATGATCCCACCCAATACGACCTCGGGACCTCAAGTCCTCGATAACAACTACTCTTCCTATCGTATCAATCACGTGATATTGTCAATAGCTGTTCTGTTGCCTTAGGCATCAAAGGTTTCATCGCTGACGCAGCAGGTTGCCAGGGCTGAACTCAAGGTTAGTACGCCTGATACTCAAATCTGCAAGGACATCCGAAGAGACATCGCCTGTTATCTTGAGTTAGATAGATCAGATTTCTACAGTCCTAGAACGCCGCAGTATCAATCCACAGGTCTATGTAGTGAAAGTGCATAATCACTACCGAGTGCATAGCTTAAAGCGCTCATATCCTTGATTTTGGACCCTTTTCGGATATATTTCGTTGTATAGATCGAGCTCTACACATATGAACTCTTGGCGGGTGACTCAATTCAGCTCAACCGACACAAACCGCAGAGAGCCGAATGCAGCCGAAGTCGGCGGACAACTCTAATTTGCAGGCGCTGATTGGCCAATATGGCAGCGGCATTCTGTATCTGTAGGGCGGTGGCAGAATTTCCCATCTGGGGGCCTCCGAGTCATCGGAGTTGTTGTCGAGCTCCGCAGAGATACTGCAGTTCTGGTGCGGAGTCATCTTTCTACTTGTGATATAAACCCACATTGAATTCCTCGATTTCAGTACGTTTATAATTCTTCCAGTGACTCAATTGACACACTCTCCACTCTCTATACCCTTGGCTGGCCCTTGGATCGTTCCTAACATCACCACAGTCATGAAGTCGCTTCACCAATTGGCTCGCCGACAGGCACTGACCGGGCTTGCAATGCCCCGCGTCCTCTCGTCACAGAACATTGCCGCCAGCCGGACATGGCAGAGAGCTTTCAGCGCCTCCACGGCGGCCGCCTCCCAGCTCCCAGGTCTTGATGCTTCGAAATTGACCATCACCAAGACCACTACCCCCAAGGAGCCAATGGACTCCAAGGATCTTGTCTTTGGCAAGTACTTCACGGGTAAGTGAATCTCTGCGCTTTATTGGGTTTCAACCACTAACCAGAAGCAATTGTAGATCACATGCTCTCCGTGGAGTGGACGGCTACCGACGGATGGCACGCACCTCGCATTGTCCCCTACCAGAACCTCAGCTTGGATCCTGCAACTTGTGTGTTCCACTATGCATTCGAATGTTTCGAGGGCATGAAGGCGTACAAGGACAGTACCGGCGGCATCCGTCTGTTCCGCCCCAACAAGAACATGGAACGCCTGAACAAGTCTTCTGCGCGTATTGCTCTTCCTACCGTGGACGGTGACGAACTGACGAAGATCATTGGAGAATTCGTGAAGCTCGACAGTCGATTCATCCCGGAGTGAGCACATCTTGTGTATACCAAATGGACATCATTACTAACCTCCATAGTGCTCGTGGCTACTCCTTGTACCTGCGCCCTACCATGATTGGTACCCAGAAGACCCTGGGCGTCGGCCCACCAGGATCCGCTCTCCTGTATGTTATTGCCAGCCCCGTTGGTCCTTACTACCCAACTGGCTTCAAGGCCATCTCTCTGGAGGCCACTGATTACGCCGTCCGCGCCTGGCCCGGTGGTGTTGGTGACAAGAAGCTTGGAGCCAACTATGCTCCCTGCATTCTGCCTCAACTCGAGGCCGCATCCCGTGGCTTCCAGCAGAACCTGTGGCTCTTTGGCGAGGAGGAATATGTCACCGAGGTCGGCACTATGAACCTTTTCATTGCTTTGAAGAACAAGGAGACCGGACAGAAGGAGCTTATCACTGCTCCTCTTGACGGTACAATTTTGGAGGGTGTCACTCGTGACTCCGTTCTGACTCTCGCCCGTGAGCGACTCGGTCCCAACGGCTGGAACATTTCCGAGCGCAAGATTCGCATGTCTGAGGTTGCCGAGGCATCTGAGGAGGGCCGCATGATCGAAGTTTTCGGCGCAGGCACTGCTGCCATCGTCAGCCCTGTTCGTAACATCAGTTACAGAGGCAAGATGGTTCAGTGTGGTTTGAAGGAGGATGAGGAGGCTGGTGAGATTGCTCTCCAGATGAAGAACTGGATCGAGGGTATCCAATACGGTGACGAGAAGAACCCTTGGAGGTAAGTTGGCCCTAGTCTTTGTTGAACCCGGATGACAATATACTAACAATATATCAGTGTCACTATCTAAGACAGAAATGTCAGATAAAAGGGCTTCTGCACCCAGGCTTTGTGGTATGGCCATAGAGGCTTTCAAAAGTCCTTAGGGTATATTTTCTTGGTTAATTTTGCATTTGTTTGAATATTTGAGGTACCGAGGCTACCGAGCAGCAGCGCGCGTCTTTTACATATTCATCGGGAGCTTGGTTCTTTATATAGAGAGCTTTTCTGATCTTTACTATTTTCGGTTTTTCGTTGAGTCCACGATCTTGTAAAGATATTGAAAGGGAATCACCTTCCAGTGTATCCTCCGAGTACCGTCACATGTTGTAGGGGTGTCAAATTGCAGTTGCTAGAGACATCTACCTAGGTAAGGTCTTATCTAGTCATTTTAACTCCATTGGCCCATCCCAAGTCGTAGTAGCAACACGCGGTGGACTTCGTAATTGGGCCGGGGTCCATTTCCACGCCAGCTCAATAGAATGCTCCTTAGACACTGATTAAGGAGAAAATCTTGGAGTAACCAGGACCCACTAAGCTATTCAGAGGCTAGTAAAGACGAAACAGCTTTCGGGGCGGTGGTTTGCTTGCTGATTATCTATTTCCCCGCTTTATGATAGCCTCCTATACTCCTATTATCTAGGTAAGACTTCACTCTATTCGACGCATTATTTGATAGGTTTGTATGTTATCATTGCAGATATGAAACATCCTATTGCGAGGAGATAGTAAAGAACTCGGCACATATAATGACGGCATGGGCTCTATCGTTGGAAGTTACTAGTATTTACATAATTTTCAATGGGACTAAACTATATATCTTCAATATCGCTACTGGAATGTCGTTACATATTATTGTGGGGCTTGTTTATATAACGTAAACATCAATAGCTAATTTCCCAAGACAGAAGAAAAACATATTACCTATGAACCATGTGAAGAAGAAAAGGCGACAGAGAATTTGTTGGTAGGGTTAGTTAAAGTACAGTTCAGATTATGGTGGAAGAAAAGGCGCTGTAGATGGCATAAATGATATACTCCCAAGATCAACACGACCCACTCAACTGATAGAACTTGGCCCTTGATTCGCCAAACCTATCGATCAACGAACAATCTAGACACAACGTCGTAGTCTGTTCCGTTGACATATCGTCGGTTCTCAGCCCATCTCACAAGTTACAGTTACTACTTGGGAAATTTCGGTCTTTTATGGTTTATTTACATGTCTTGCTCAAGAAAAGTCTATTTAGGGGGTGCATTTAGCAAATCATGTAGATTGGGTTCCTTTTCATGTAGGACAGTGACTACCAGAATTGGTAGCTAAACCCACGGTGGTCAAATACTAAACGGTGAAGCACAGTATTTTTTTACGGGATTTTCTTTTGCTCCGAGACACTAAAAAGTTTCTAAGCCATTCTTTAGAGAAAAGTTGCCTAAGATTATTTCATTAAAGCCAATAGCTCGAATAGGACCCGGAATCATCCTCCTGCAGCGATAGATGTAACCTCCGTCCAAGGTCAACCATCAGATTCAGCATCAAGCACAGACAATACAAAGACACCTGCCAATCCATAAGATTTGATACATCCAAGCACATAAAGTTGCAGACAGGTTAGTCAGACCTTCCAGCTTTGATCCTGTATAAACACAGTGCTGACGAGTGTCAGCCACCCGTACCGATGACTCCGCCTGTTTCTTGAAAAATTCCATGTTGACTTCCCCTGACATGTTACCCGAGGACAAGTCCTAGAGATAGAACCATACAAGCCAATCTAGCCCCAAGGGTTTAGTGACCCTCTCCAATCGATAGTCTGGGTGAATAGGTCACATCGCAGCAATACAGCCTAGACCAACGGTAAATATCCAGATGTAACTTGACCGAAAACAAGGTAAATTAGGCGACATGCAGCACGTGGGCCACGTGGAATGAGGCTAAACTCAGACGCGATAAGTGAAGCGAGAGCGAAAGTAGAAAAAGAACAGTCGGGTCGGCTTTCTCCGTACTTGAGAAGGTTTCAGGCTCAGTCTGTACGCTCTTCAGCTACGTATTGGGGAAAAGTTAGAATCACAGCGGGACACAACATGCGTTTCAGAATGTCCCGCATGGATAACAATGGAGGGTTGTTTGATCTCATAGGCTAAATTTATTGCTCGGCATATTCGGGTGGGTTGCAATGAAGACCTTTGTGAATCTATTGCATTGCGGGAAATAACCGGGCGTGGAGATGAGTATGTGGCTTAGAGGGGAACTGGTCAGCTTCTTATCTTGGGATACCCCCGACAAGAGTCTATGATTCCCCTCATCCGGACTTATTGTTGACCTGTACAAGACAAATATAGTAAAACGCAAACTTGGGAGTCGTTAAGTGCCGATGTTCTTTTTTTTGGGGGGGGTTGACTTGAGACAACCTTGGAAGAGTAGCAATGAACTGGAAATTTTAACCATGTTTGTTTTGAAGTTGCCATGGACTCACATTCGGAGTGTTGTTTGATCGTGTCCAGCTTCAGCACTGGACGCCTTATCTGACGTCCCCGACCTTGGCTAATCCATTTGAAGTAAAGTCGGATGAAGTTGGCGCGCCCAGTAGGTGCGCTTGGATGGACTTTTGCATTCGGTCCATTTCACGTTTCGTGTAACCATCCAATGCGAGAACGACAACGTGCCGGGACGACGCAAGAGGCTCGGAGATTGCCGTCATTGATATTCCTTGAGTCACAGTAAACTTCCCCAAAATAAATAAAATAAAAAATAAAAGAAGGCAAGTAAAACACAATGGAGGAAAAAAAACAAGGCATTCTGCAGAAATGCGTGTGCCATGGGGGGTGCATCCCGGACACAGCAAGGACGGGGGCTGCATGGTAGTCCACCGCCAGGAACATTCTTCTAGATGGTTACTAGAAGGCTCAAAATGCAACCCATCCAAGCATCCGGGGACAACCATGGTATGTGAGTGGCCATAATCCCTGCAGGAGGAAGAGTTTCCACTAGGATGGCTGTGCAAAGGTTAGAATTCCAGCTGGAGGCATGGACAGCATTAGCGGTGAAGACAAGTATGTACCGGGTACCTGAGCTGTTGTGCTCATTGAGCGTGTCATTGAGGTCATGGGATGCCCCTCCGACATTACTCGATCAGGAATAAGAAGGTGTCCTGCTCAGCCCTATATAGGGAGGCTATGACGAGCACTTTCGGGGCACGCACCTGGCGGAGTTGGTTCCTAATACGCACTACATTCCTGCTATTAACTCCGACCCGGATTGGTGGAGAGACCCTGCAAGGCTACCTATTCATAGCCTAGTTGTCTTACCTGAAAAAGAGCCTCTTTTTTCTTTTGTGGATTTCCCTCTCCCCCGCCCTCTAAAACCACTTGTCTGGGCTACGATTAATGTCCATATTTTTTTTTGTCGGAGTCAAACATCTGGGTCTGAGCGTATCTCCGGGGACTAGAAATAGACTAGTAAACAGTGGACCTTATTTCCTAATTCCTAATCCCTAATTCCTAATTCCTAACTACGGAGTACGGAGTACGGAGACGGAGTACGGAGAGTACGGATTTATTGCGCATCATATGCCTAGATTGGTATTCGCGATGCCGCCAATCAGGCAACCAGTGGAAGCGCGTCAATGAGATCATTACAGAGCATAATAATGGTTACAATAACTACAATAAAATAAAAAAGAAAAGAAAAGAAAATCCGCCAAGAAAAGCAAAATGGCATTAATTATAGAAATGTTACTGAAGGAAAGTGGCTCTATTCCAGTACAGGCATAGGGGTGAATCAATGTATACGAGCGACCCAATTGCGGTTAAAGAGCATTTTGTATGGAGTAGGCGATACAGGCCCAACTTTCCAGGACGCCTAGACTCGCCAGAGAAAAAATGAACTTTTTTTTTTTTCAGTTTCCTTGTCTATAGTCCTGAATATCATGCTAAAAACTCTCCAATACCCCAATACTGGAATAATCCTCAAGATCCGCCAAAGAGTCAGATCTTTATCCCCTTAGTCCGTTGCCAAGATGAAGATTAAAAAAAAACAAAAACCAAAAAAACGTGGTAATGACCGTGCACATTGGAGCAACCCACGTGAGAATATAGAGAGGAAGAAAGTAAAAAGCAAGGTGTAACCCCAAAATCCACGCAGCCCGTTTCATCCTTGGACATATCGTGTCTCGGGCCAGTCAGGTCGAATGAGGATCACCCTCCAAGCGAACGTCTGGTTAGCGTGTCCCGGCCCAACTCCAATAATCCATCCTACCGTCTTGGATTTGGATCATACGCCGTACAACGTTGGTGCTACATGTTAGATCTAAGATCCCCCCGGTCCGCAACTGACCGGTCTGTCGGTGTCTTAGGAGTTTTTGTGGTTTTAATGGTTTAAATAGTTTTAATAGTTTGAATGGTTTTGGTTTAGCCCTGTATAGGTGGGTATTTTTCAAGTGTTTCAACGTGTTGAGGTGTTTTAAGTATTTTAGTAGATTGATAGGCTATTAGAGTAATTAGAGGGGGGTTTCATAAATCCCAAAGAGTGTTAATTTTGCAGTATTACCAGAGGCTGAACGTGGATCCCTGAGCAAATTAATTAAAATTCCAAAAAAACAATAATATAATAAAATAATAACCGGGACTTTGTGCACATGGCAGGTCGAGTCTAATGGTATTCGAGCACGGACTGAGCTGGTTATCGCGACGGGGCTTAGCTGCAAGGCCCCAAAAACCAATTCCAGCTGATCAATGGGGAGCCTTAAGAGAGTCCTCTTATTCTTATATATAAATATACTGGCATCCACTTGGCCTCGGGTCTTTAGCCTCATAGCCCCGTTATCACATCCCTCCACTTTCACCTTCTACACTTCTACATCTACTATACTATATTATTCACCATTCACTATTCTCTACGCTCTATTCTGTACTTTATCTTTTGTCTCTGCTCTTAGCTTTTACCTCTCTTACCATGAATCGCTCTCCATCGTATGATGGCCGTTCAGGCTCTCGTGGTAGTCACAGCAACAGCAGCGCATTCAGTCCCAACGCCAACCCAAACGAGGACTGGACCAAGATCTCTGATCTCGCAGAGCGTCGCCGCATTCAAAACCGTATCGCCCAGCGCAACTATCGTAAGTAAAAAGACAAAATCCCAGAGTCTCATCCATTTTCTGACTCGGCGCAACCCAACAGGCAAGAAACTGAAGCGCCGCTTGGAGGATCTCGAGAGACGGGCTGCAACTTCTGCTTCACCTGAACAATCACACGCAGAGCCGGTGTCTCCGAAACCATCCCCGAAGACTCGAACAAAGCAGCGATCCTCCAAACCCACAGATGTCAAGCCTCACTCGCAGTCAGACCGATCTGCCTCGTACGACTACTGTTCCCCCGAGGACCGTCAAACAATGTTCGCCCAGCAATGTACTCGCCAGCTCTCTGCATCACCCCCACCAGTCTTCTCCTACCCATCTATGTCATCATATGACACCTACCGGCAGTCCGTCTACTCCCAGTCTCCCATCTACCACGCCGCACCCAGCACCTACAGCGAAATCGCCTACCAACCCGAGTATGGCGAGCCCGCCCCTTCGCTGGTCCCCATGCTCCCATCTATGCAGGCTCGCAAACTGGCCTATGATGAAGACCTTATCAGTCCATTCAGCATGAGCTATGCAACCATGGCCGGGATCGATCTGTGCCAACAGCAAGCCCAGGCGCAGTCCCATTCTCAACACCAGCCTTCTGCGCTTCCGGTACATTTCCCTCGCTGAACCTACTCATCTGACCAGTCAGCTAATATCTGTCTGTGTTTTGTTTTTTTCCAGATGCCAACACTTGCATACTACGAGGACCGACCATCAACGTCACCAGAGGCATCTATTTTCACATTCCCGCTCACACCGGAATCAGCCCCATGCTCACCTCGGATGCATTATGAGTACGATCTACGGCCATAAGGCGATCGGGGGATCGGGGGCGCGACAGGCCGAGCGGGTGTTTCCGCCTCAGGCTCCTTGACCCCGAACGTCGGACTCGAATCCATCCGCCACGTTTTTGTTTTTTTTTCCTGTTGCCTTCATCCGAGCTCTCCACTCTCGATTTATTTATTTATTTATTGTTTTTTTTTTGGTTCTTTTGTTATTTGTGTTAGCCTTTTTTTCCCTACGTGTGATGAGATAGTTGCATGCTAACTGGTGTTGATTTTTCTTTTTGATTTTTTTTTTTGGCGTGGAGTTAAAAGGGAACAGGGGTGAGCTAGGGAGCCACGTTGAATTGTTTTCTTTTCTGTTCTTTCGTTTTTTATGCTTTCTTTTTTTTGGGGTCTGTTTTCTCTCTGTTTTGATTAAATGCAGATCTACAGAGTACAGATGGCGAATTTGATAACCTCTCAACAATATATAGAATGTTATAACCTGGGAACATTCTTATAGTGATTGGTCCAAACCCTCAACTTAACTTGCATAACTCCACGGCCCCCAAACCTCCGTGCGGGATTTTCAATTTCAGCTTAGCCAGAAACATTTTACGCCCTATCCCTCTCCGGTTCCAGAGGTCTCAACGGTGATTGACGTACGTCGTACTTCGTACCATGTATTCTTTGATGTTCCCCAGTTTGATAGCCCTAACTAGTGAAACACAGTTCAAAAATGGTAAAACCACAGACCAGTTTCTTAAAGCGGACAAGTTCTAGTTCATACATGACTCGAGAGACAAGTCTCGAACTCACCGAGGTCCAATAATCGTCAACTAAGGACCAGTCTACTGGGAAAAATCCCGATCCCTGCAGAAAGAGACAATACCCGCTCCCCACGCAATCACTTCTTTATTCCCGACATATTGGCCCAGTTCGACTAAAACAGCCACTCAAATTTGCTTTGAAAGGATTTGGAAATTGCTACCTTCCAGATGGACCCGAAATTCCAATGAAATCCATCAGATGATGCAATCTGCAATCCGTAATCTGCAATATCCTCCGCCCCATCCAATCCACTGTCCTGGTTACATAGTATACTATATACGCAGAGGTACGGAGGTGGTCCGAGTATTGTGCTGCGCCTCAACTCTTCGGTTCCCTCCCCCCCCTCATTTCAAGCATTTGTACTTTGGCTAAGGACAGCACATTAACCAAGGTCCCCTCAAGACTAAAAACTGGGGCCAAGCAAAACATGCCTACTCTGGCGTTTCCCAACACTCGCATCCACTTCGGATTGGCGATGTTTCGCCCGGCTAGAAGGGACAGTTTACATCCGGGTTCCAACGGTCTCGGAGGTATAGCCCGTCTTTGACTCCTCCAATGATTGCTATCCAGGTCCGGTAGCACGGCCATATGCAATAACACAGGGAAAATCTCAGATCATACTATGATGCGAAAAATAAAAATAAAAATAAAAATAAAAATTAATGGCTCAAGATATTCGCCGGTAACGGTATACTAGTCTACTAGTCTACTCTTTTACTAGTCACTTGAGGTTTGGGGCTGAAAAGATGGAAAATCAACAGCTTTAATTTAGTTCGTTTTTATTCCCGTTCAACCCACATGGGAGTTGAGGGGCCAGAGGCTAAAGGGTTAAATGCCTGCCACTCGAAGCCAGCCAATAACCTTCTTTTTCCTATCCTAGCTTAGCTTGGGGGCGGCATCTTCTTATCAGGGTTGGCGGCTCTGGTCTGCAGCGTTCCCGCCTATCCCCCATCCCTGAGGGTGGATCCAAATATATAA